AAAAAAAAAAAAAAAAAAAACAAGGAAAAGGAGATTGGTGTCATGTCCAATTATCTCCCCCAAAAGAGCAACCAAATACAAAAGGGAAAGTAGTGACTTTACAGTGGCGAAACCAGGCAGACACCAACTTGACCATGTGATCAAGGAGAACTTGGCGTCATCAACATGGCGTGCCTCCAAATGTGGTTCAGTGAGAAGAGCACATTTCCCTGGCATCCCTGCCGTGGATGCCCGGCCTGGTTCTGCTGATGCGGAACTGCGGAAAGACCCAGGCCATGGGTCATCTTGAGAATGAAAGACCCATATTCTTTAAGACCGTCAAGGACACAAGAGACAGAAAAAGACTAAGAAACCATTATAGACTGAAGGACATTAAGGACACCTAACAAGTAAAAGCGATGTGTGTTTGCAGGTAGGATCCTAGATAAGAAAGGAAAAAGAGCCATTAAGACAGACAGCAGGGAGCCTGGGTAGCTCAGTGGGTTAAGCATCTGACTTTGGCTCAGGTCATGATCTCACAGTTTGTGAGTTTGAGCCCCGCATCAGGTTCTGTGCTGACAGCTTAGAGCCTGCTTCGGACTCTGTGTCTCCCTCTCCCTCTGCCCTCCCCCACCTGCACTCTGTCTCTCTCTCTCTCTCAAAAATAAATAAATATTTTTTTAAAAATTAAAAAAAAAAGACAGATGGCAAAATCTGAATGGCATCTGTGAGATGGATGGTAACGTGTCAGTGTTTATTTCCTGACTGGAAGGAGTACGTGGTAGTAATACGGGAGTCTCCCTGTTTTGCAAGGAGGGGAAACACACTGTAGAACTTACAGATAACTGGTCAACACGTCTCTCTCTCTCTAAGGAAAGAAATGGGGCAAACACAGTAAAACTTAACAGGGAGTCTGTGTAAAAAGCATGCAAAAGTTCTTGGTACTATTCTTACAACTTTTAAGTTTGAAACAATTTGAAAACTAAAAATCTAAATAAAAAATATGAGTGTAGGGGCGCCTGGGTGGCTCAGTCGGTTAAGCATCTGACTTCAGCTCAGGTCATGATCTTGCGTTCTGGGATTTGAGCCCTGCATCGGGCTCTGTGCAGACAGCTCAGAGCCTGGAGCCTTATCAGATTCTAGGTCTCCCCCTCTCTCTCTGCCCCTCCCCCATTTGCTCTCTGTCTCTCTCTTTTCCTCTCTCAAAATAATAAACATTAAAAAAAATCTTTTTAATATGTGTGTATACTTAAGTATACATGTACGTATTTGTATATATCCATAATCTAACCACGCCCACACCTCCGGGCCAGCGCTGCAATTCA